GCCCTTGCGCTATTAAAAACAAAAAGCTTCTTACTTCCAGGAATGCATTGGCAAGACTCCACAAGAACAAGATTTAACTTTTGAGCATGGCAGTGGGCATACAAGGCTAATGGGTGGTCCTTACAAAAAAAAAAAAAAAAAAAAAGAAAGAGAAAAAGAAAAAAGAAAAAAGAAAAAGCCCTAAAATTCATTCAATAGTACATTAATATTATCTGAGACCTTACGCCTGATTAAATTCTTGCAAAACACTCAATGGGTAACTCACAATACATGAGAAAATATGGAAGTGCTGTTTGGCTTTTACAAATTGTCATTTAGATCTTAATTTAACCCATATGAGTTTTGCTTATGTGTGAGGGTGTCTTGTGATTCATCGGCCAAACCTGAAATTCATTTTTTTGCCTGTACGTGAGAAAGGATTCACAAAATCATGTTACAGAATGAGTCAGTCTATTCTCCAAGTCAGTCACACTAGTCGTGCCCTTAGATGAAGAAGGAATTTCTATTTTCTAAATCCAGAACAGTTGTACTAAAAGTGTCTTTGCTAACTTTCTGGACTAAATAGCAAAAAGCAAGCCTTCCAAATACAGGTTTTTTGTAGCCTTTTTTCTGAACCTATAAACCTTGTTTTGTTCCACCTTGTGAATGATGTCACCCCTTTATTTAGATGACTTAATATGCTGCTTAACTTGCACTGTAGTCCAAGAGCAGCTATGGGAATAACATTGTTCTGTAGCTACTTTCCCATTTGAAAAACCTCTTAAAGCTGTTATCCATCTGCATTTCGCTCATCGTGTGTGAAACATCTATACAGAAAACAGTAAGCTCTCTGTTTCTTACAGCTATATTCCAGTCTACAAACCAATTTATACTCCAGGAGAATTAACCCCTCCTTTTATTTCTCTTTCTCTCTCTTGTCTTTGTGGTTTGGGTTTTTTTTGTGTGTGTGTTTCGTTGGCTTTGGGGGTATTTTGGGGGCTTTTTTAATTTTTTTTTTTAATATAAGCTGTAAAACCGACCTGGTGTGATAGTTTGAAAGAATCCCTCATCTCTACCTCCTAGATGTCAGGGTGGAGAACTTTACCTTCTATTAAAATTACTGACCTGGGCTGTGATAACTCTATCTATTATTTGAAGATGATCGGTGAAATTATCAGCGCTGAAGGTTAGATACCAGTTTCTAAAAAAAAAAAGTTTGTGGGTTTTACTCTAGTTCAAATTATGTCCATTCTCAGTCTCATTTCTTACGATTCATGAAAAAGCTCTTACTTTTGTGTGAGAGACTTAAGTAAAGGGAGAATGTTTTGCAAAATGCAGCACCTCAACAGCATTGCAGGTTTCGCCCACAATATAAACTGGATTTAATTTGTCTTGTAAAATATAGATTTTTATCTCTAACTGTAGTCACTCTCATTTGGCATTCTTTTTTAAGATCTTCCTCAGACACTATGTTAAACACTGCATCAGAAACAGAATAGGGGATTTCACAGGGAAGAACTATTACTGTGCAGAGTAACAGCCTAGTGACAGCCAGAGAAAACCGGCTACACAGGACATTTAATACTAGCTTAAACTAAATGCCAGTTAGTTACAAAGGAATAAGGCTATACTGACAGAGAGAGAGAACCAGAAGCTGCTAGTATTGTCCCTTTATTATTACATTCTAGAATTTGGGTCCTGATTTTCTCATATATTTGAGCGGTACAAAGGGACGAAGATAAACTGGAGCTAAATGAAGTTTGATGACAAATAGCTCAGCACAGGGGAAACAGTTGGTTCAGTCCATTCTTCTCACAAGTCACTGTACTCCCATGTTTAGCCCGTTTGTAGGAAGGTACGGAAGCCACAGAAGAGATAAGACATATTGCTGCACTGTACCCTACTGCAGGTGTTCTCAGTGGGCATAGAGAATTAAACCAGCACTCCTTTCAGGCTACAGTAACTTACACATAGCCATAGACCTGCTCTCTCTAATTCTCAAATACTGAGGGAGCTCTAATGAACTAGGGCAAGAAAATGTAATCCTAATAGCAGGAAGGTCTAAAATTTACACACGATTTTAATGAAGAAGTAGGGTGGAGCTTCAATTAAGACTATTTTTCCTTTCCAAGTGAGATACAAAAAATTAAGCCAAATTAAGTTAAAGTTAGTATTGAGGAACTCCTTCAATCGTTTAAATAAATCCCTCTCAAAGAGCCCCAACATGTCCACGAAAGTGAGGAACCTTCTGGAGGAGGTATCATAGAAGGTAAATTGACTGGACAGTAACCAGAGCAGAGCGTTTTTTTAAAAAAATACAGCCAGGTGAAAGAACTAGATTAAGCAAATGCAAAAGTAAAATTAAACTTTTTGTCTGAGCCAAGAAGCATGCTGCCTAACATTTGGAACTTCGCCATTCAAATTTCAAGTAAAAAGTCACATTCCTCCTACAGACAGCCAAAATACCTTCAGCAAACCTGATTTGGTAAACTGATTTGGCAAGTCCTATTATCTACAGAACATCAACTACCATTAATAGGTCCAGTCATTTCAAGTCACTTTATACAATCAAAAAATGGGTAAAATTAAGAGGAAAGACACTGTTCAATTGTAACCAAAACTATGCATAACGACAACTTGAACTCACTTCTTGTATTTTGTATTGTATTCAAATATGCCTACAATCAAATCCCATAGTATTTACATATAAACAGTACAGCAGCACACGAGGCTACTTAGAGAATATGAAAAAAATAAAAGTATCATTTCTGAAACAAATAAATGTACTAATAGATTCTGTACTATGACCTTAAAATAAATACTAGGTTTTGTCATAACAATGGAGATAAATGCCAACACTGAGAAACTTTCACAGAGATGACCCAAATACTCAGGCTGTGGTTTTATAGCATGGTATTTTCGGTGGCTATAACACTGAGTAACAGCAAATTTAATTGCTCTTGGAACCAAATAGAGAAAAAAACTATCTTCATGTTCTTGAAGCCACTTGCTTCATGCAACTCTCTCTACCCACTACTTCAGCTGCTGTGGAGAAGGGATGGACAAATCCACCGTGGAGGTATCAAAAAAGAGAGCCAACTGCACTAACAACTCCATCTTGAAGTAAGAGAGGAAAGGTGTCCTCAGACTCAGTAAAAGGAGTGCTCCAAAAGAATAGAGAGACTTCATCATCTTGAAGAATAAATACTAGTTTCCTCACAACTGAATACAACAGCAATACCCAGTTCTCTCTTTTGATTTCCCTTGCTAATGATGAGATGGTATATATTTAATTCCTCCAAAGTTCAAAGAAACTGCTAAAGTGCAGTGAGTGAAAAGAACCACAGTCAAGTAGGTATCGTCCAGTTCATCACCAACTTCATTAAACAGGGTAGCAAATGAAATGAAGGTGTATAGACAAAACAAAGCACTGCTTTGCATTCTCTGATAAGTGAAGTGACAAAAGAGGATTTTATGAGGTCTTTCTCTCACAACTCATATTTTAGACTGCAGAGTCATAGAGTACAGCCAGTTAAAAGACAATAGCAATAGCCAAGGTTGCTAGGTTTGGCTCAAGATCTGAGCCATTTGTTCCCTGGTGTGAAGGACTGAGAGAATATATAGTATCTTGGCACCTGCTGTTAGTGGCTACTTTAGGGAATTTAAAATTTAATTAACCTTCATAGTAATCCATACAAGATTTTATATAAGTTCAAAAAGACCATGTAGGAAACTTAACATTTCTATTTTCCTTACCTTTCTACTTGTTAATCCATGGACAACCGATGTCAGTTGAAAAAAAGGTGACACACTTTCATGTAGCTAGTTGTTTGGAAACATTTTACAACATAAGCAATTTGTTTCTCGTGAATTGGGAAGAATCCCATGACTAGCATGTTTGCTCTTTTCTTAAAGCATAAGGCCACACTGCTGACAGCAAAACTCTCTAGAATTACAAGGCCATCCGGTCACTGCTGCTCTGACAGTAGTACTGTGAGCTGAAGTTCCCTGAGGCTCCACAGCCCTGCTAAGGAGATGCTATTGCATGGATGACTCGGTGTGCTGTAGTTATGCTCCCAGAGCATCAGAAAATGTTTTGAAGCCCCTCTTCCTACATAAGTGCCTTTTAAAAGTAGTAATTTACAAGCAAAATGGGAAAAAAGTAGAAACGTAGGGTGGCATATGGCCAAACTTTTGACTTAATTTCACCACAGGTTGCTTTTTATTTACAAGCGGCTAATCCCCTCTCAAACCACACAATAGAGCAGCCATTGGCAAAGGCAGGCAGATAAAATTGGCATGCCTCTGTATTGTTCTTGCTAATCTGAACCATTAACAGAAGGGTGAGAAGGCTAGTTTTGTCATTTAAACAGGCTTAAATCCTTTCTCCAAATGAGCTTTTGTCTACATAGAAGAATGCATCTAGGAAATTTCAGGGGTTTCTGTTAGTGTTGCATTCTCAAGTTGACTTGGCTACAGGAATACCAACCTGTTTATTTGGCCTTCATACTGTAAATGCAAGAATTATTTCCAGCTGTCAAAACCAAAAGGGGTTCAACCTGATTAAATTATTTCTCAGAGATGAAACAGGATGAGATTATAAAGTGCTAAGAAGCAACTATTTGAAATCCTGAACTGCACCTGTGCAACTAAATCTCCATTTATACAGGTGCTTTTCAAATTGGATTTGAACCTTTAAATTCCTTGATTCATCCCCTGAAAAACCACAGAAGCTCAAATAACTAATGAAATTCAGAGACAGAAAGGCTTAAAATAGTTTCAAGCTGTGAAGTAAGGCCTAAGACTAACTATGGTCTTTGATTCATTGTTGATGCGACATATCAAGCATAAACGTAAGTTGCACAACCCAAACGCCAGAGGTCATAGGGTAGCCAGTAGATAGGTAATTATTTTTTCTTTAGCATGGAGGTCATCACCTGGCCCATAAGGACAATACATAGCTGAAAAGCTTGGGAAAGAATGTATTGGTTAGCATGACCTGGTTTTGTTTTGCTTTTTACCTGGCACATCTTGCGCAGATATTCAATGTGACCTTTGCTTGAGGCTCAGCCATATGAGCACTTCGAGTTTGATTGAATTTGCTCCCAGAAGGCATCACACTTGTTACTCCTTCCATTCTTAGATCATCAAGATCCTCTGCAACAAGACAGAATGACTGGATGAACACATGATTAAAATTTGTAGCAATAAAAGCGCTTCACCTGTAGAATCACTAAAGAGTGGAACAACACAAAAATCAGGATGAAAACACACACAGTTACTTGTATAATAATAGGAAAACACATTTGAGAGGATATTTATTTACCTATATTATCACCCTGCTACACGGGGTTCCTTGAAAAATATTCAGTATCATTTCCACTTCAAACAGTGCTGCATATTTTTTCAATCTTTGTTTCTCTGGTTCATTTATAAAAAGCTTGTCATCAAGAGATGCTGTCCAATACCTCAAGTTGACATAGGGCACACTGAAGAGAAAATTCATTTTTTTGAGCGTATGCTCATCCTATGATTTTTTTCATCATCTGTTCACTTAGCAATAAAAAATACTGCTAAAATAAAAGCGCTCTACTAAACCTCAAAAATGTGAAATGGATAAATATATCACATTGAAATCAACCATAATGTGCATACTTATGCCCACCATATTGCTGTGTTATTTGGGAAACATAATAATAACTGGATTTTCTACTGCTGTAAAACCATTCCCATTTTGCAGGAAGACACCTGAGGCTCTCAGAGAATTTTTTGCCCAAGATCACACTGGAATAGCGTAGCTCAGTTAGACTGTAAATGAATTCTCTTGGTTTACAGCCAGGATATTCTTTACGGATAATCTGTATATTTTTTGCTAACATAAAATACGCAAGTTTTGTATACCTAATGTATCCATAAAGCCCAGTTTTCAGTTGGTTAGGTTCTAGCTGAAAGGTAAACAAGCAAAACACTGACTAGCTGCTATTAAATGAGCACCAACCATCCCATGTACTGACTGATGCATATGGCTTATGGTATACAGTATGTGATCATCTAATTAAAATGTCTTTCAGATAATGTATACATTATTTTCATACGTATACATTTTCATATGTATACATAATTTTCATATATTTATGTTTACAAAATAAACCTGATGTTAAAGGATCTGAGCGGAGCAGAAAGTGCATAAAGGCAGACCTTAAATCCCGACATTAGACAGGGAAAAGTCACAGAGAACTTCAAAATCAGAAGAGGGAATGTTCAATTAGTATTTAAAATATACAAGTAGTCATTATAGACACACAGTGGAGTACCAGGCTCCTCTTCATAAACAAGAGAGTGAGACACAAGTCCCCAAATCATTACCTGAAATATTTCTGGTGGTCCCCTATAGTTCATAGACACTACTCTTACCACTGTGCTCCAAATTCTAGGCAGTATGGTCAGATGGCCAGGATTATGCCATGTTAACAACAGACTTTTCGGGAAACACCTATTTCAATAAGCAACATCCAAGAACAGCAAGGCTAAACTTCAATTACATTTTTGAGACTAAAGTCCTCGAACTAGATTTTCTTATCTGTAATGTTTTACTTCACTGCTGAAGAAAACTCCTCCCTCCCAAAATTTGTTGGCTTGGTGGTATAAATTGACAGTTCCATTGAAGTTTCTGGCATCAATTTACACAATTTCCACACCTTTTTCTTTAAATGTCATCTGTGGTTTATATACAAACTAATTCAAAGGACTTGGAAGGTTATATGATAAAGAATTATGAAATCAATCATCTATGAGTCATTTCAGAAAAAGTATTACATATTCAGAACACATTATGTATTAAAATAAATAGAGTTTAATTGTACTTTAAAGAGGTGTGAAAAGTTCCATATTTTTTAACAGATGTAAACCACTGGATGGATTACAGTTTAAATGAAATTGAAGCATATGCCTCAGGTTTTTTTCCCCTAAACAGATGTGATTTCTTCAAATGAGGTTTTCAACTGTTCTCTGCCTGATTAACTTTTGGCTCTCTGACGACTAAGACTGTTTCGGTACAGCGATGACATAGGTTGGCCTACGGCATACCTTTTATATTTGAATCTGTATATCAAAAACATTCCTTTTTTACATTTTTAGTCTCAACTACCCATGTTTTTCTCTCGAGAGAAAATTAAGTGAAACTTTGTGCAAGAACCCGGGATTTCAGAGGTGCCTATAGTTGTAGCTAACAGACAAACAGGCAGAATACTATGCAGTACTACTTATTGTCAGCTGCTGTTAGACCAATAGCAGTAATGTGCATCCTAAGATGCAGATTAAAAAAAAAAACAACAACAAACAAACAAAAAAAAAACAACAAAACAAAACCGTACATCACATACAATTGTTAACTTTCCACAACGAATTTTCATTGATCTAATTCAGGATTGGATGGACTTTGTCCATGACAACCTACAAAAAGCCATTAATATTCCAACTAGACAGAGAAGTATAACCCCATCTACCAAATACGAAGAGTAACTGCAGCATTCGATTTAACTTTGTTTACTGCACTTCCACCTCAATATCGAATGATTTCAGTTTCTTCTGCATGCCTCAAATTTACAGTGCAAATATTGCACTTCCTTCTCCCTAAAGCAACTGGGCTTTGACAAACTGCCTGGTTCCCAATACTCATAACTTTGGATGGGAATTTTTGAGTTGTGAGCAAGTTTATGTGACATCTGGCAATCTTCCTGATTGACCACATTCATTATTGAAGGCCCTTAATTAAAAAAAAACAAACCCCAAACCCAACAGTAAATCACACAGTAATTTTAGTACTAAACTGTGTGTGTGTATGTTGTTAAACAATTGATGCGTTTTTTGCAGAAGAGTATTTGTTCATAAATAAGGATATTATTAAAATAAATACAAACAATCAGTGCAATAATGCATTTTAAGAATATAAAAAAAGAAGGTTTCCAAAGGTTCAGACTTTTCTCTGTAACATCAGAAAAAATCAGTCTTGGCAAAAAAGGATTTCATTGAGAAGTCAATTCAGTTACAGGGTCTGGCACACTGAGTCTTTTCTTTTTCTTTGTATTCTTTGCGAGACCAACTAGTGATGATACAGCTGAGTGGTTCAGTGATTTTATTGAGCAGCAATGAGGTAATTCACTGAGAAAAAAGGGAAAGAAAAGACAAGTTGATGACTGCTTATGTGATTGAAGACAAGGATACTGTGAAACTTCTCAAATCCTTAGAAAATTGTTACCTATCTTTGTACAGTGACTGATCAGAAGTTCATGTAAATGAAACAATCTTACTTGTGCTAATAAAAGTTTGTTATTTTAATGCATCACTGTGCACTATATTTGTTTAATTTAACATTAATTCTCTACATAAACAGGGTATGTGAAGACCCTACCTTGGTCCTATAGCAATTTCCATTAAGTTAGTTCTGTGTAGAAAAAAAAACCTACCTACAAACCAAACAAAAAAATGCTTACATTTTTCTTGAATCAGCAATTCACCAAAATAAATTCACACAGCTGCAATCTTCATGCATTGCCATAACAACAATACACAAAAATACTTAAAAGTGAGATAAAGATCACAAGTGTAATATAGCATAGCATAGAACCAGATGTTTTCTGTATTAATAATAATGCTGCTCTAAGCTAAATTCTTTGTGATTTTTTTTGTAGACAAGTTTCATCAAAAAGGGAAGGGGAAAAAGGGTATCTATTTCAGCTAAACAAGAACATAGCCTAGTAACAAGGTAATGTTTTTAAATAGGATGTTTTTAATTATTTACTTCCTTTCTTTTTGGGGGAGAAGGGCTGGGGAGAGGGAAAGGGGCACTAATACCAAGTATTCTAGAAACTGTGCAAGATTGCTTAATGCCTTGGGATGAGAGGGTGTGGAATCATCTTACAAACATCTCCTACATGACTGGCACACGTTTCCCTTTAAGGACAGAGGTCTTCTTACGCAGAACTCCTATTAAATGCAGTGGAAGTTCAGTTGCGCAGAAAGCTCATGTATTCAGGTTATGTGCTACATTGTGTGATATGATCCAGTCATTTTTGTCTCCTTTCTCCATTATCAAACATGTTGTAATTTCCGAGGAGTAATTCAAGAAGTGTAAGGTACAAAGCTGGAAAAAGTCCTGGTTCCCTCTTTAGAGAGGTTATGACAGCTCTGAGTTTGTCTGTTCAGCCTGATGCTAAGAAAAGCACTAAATGTTTTCATGTGCGAGTAAGAAATTCAGACAATGAATTCTGATTTATATTCTTGCAGGCCACCAGGCAATTCTGATGCACCAGTAAAATAATGCCTCTTTCTTTGAAACAATGAATTTCTCAAGGCAGCGTTCTTCCATGATAGACATTGACACATTCCGTATACACAGCATTGATTTGTCAAGGATGGTTGACTGAACCACAGATTTTTAATATGCTGTACTATTCTCATTAAAAAAACAAACAAACAAACCCAAACAAAACAATCAATCCCCCCCAACCAAAAAAATCAAACCAAAAATCAAACCAACAAAACCCCACTGCCAATAGCAGTTCTGCTTATGTTCCAGGAATTTATACTGCTTTAGAAGTCATATTTGTACATTTCTTCTTATACTAACCAATCCTCTCTGTTTTAGATAAATTTTCTTACCAATATCAACAGAGCCCAATAAAAATCCCACCTTAATTCCAAAAGAACTGTTGGGACAAGCAGGAATTAAGCTTCCAGACAAAGAAAAACCATTAATCTAGACCACCTGATGCTGACTCCTGAAAATTATGTTTAATCATTTCCTTCTACAGAAGCAAAACTGGAGTTATCTTCTGCAATACACTAGCTACAGGACATCTCACTTTGTTTCTTTTGATTCATCTATGGCTTCAATGTCATGGAATAGACAATTCTGTTAGTCTAGTATGTATGTTCTAATATGTCTTCCTATTAACATCTTCAAATATCAGAATTTGGCCCGGTTCAGATCCATGCCATAGACTGTTGACGCAAATATCATCCAAAGTAAATCCATCAAGAGACTTTCACTCCCTAGAGCCATTTTAGATTCCTGAACCCAATGTTCTGAAGACATCTTATTTTATAAGCATCACAAGTTGACAATACATTCCCTAAATGTTTGTGCTTCCACTGAT